TGTCTAAGTAGTCGCTATTTTACTACTTCCTCTCGTTTAGCTAGTTTGTTTTGAAGTCATTCTGTTACTAGATATAAATATGATTAAGTCTGTGTTAGTAGTTTTCCACAATAATTGTTAACTTAGCTCAAGGTGCTTTTTGTACAACTGAGTTACCGATGTATTTCGGCTTAAGAGACTTTATCAAAGCCAGAAATCCTCTCAGACAGTGAAGGGAAGTCACATGAGACTTACGTGACTTATTGGAAGCTCATGGCATCCAGCTTGGCGAACGCAACAGTTCATTAGCTCGCTTAAATAATTATTCGACTTTACAATTACCTCTTAAAAAACTTTTATTTGATGTCCTAATGGGAATTTTTTGCATCGAAAAGAAACTCCCTTGAATGAGTACAGTGAATGAAAAATCATTATCTTGAAATGTGCGTTGTGCCATCACCAGTGGTGATTTTTGATATTAAAATGGTCACGCCTAACAGCCAAAAGTGGCTTATGAGGTTCCAATTCGCTTGGAGACCTGAACTGCCTATGACACACCTTGGTTCTGCTGACATTTAGCAATGCGCCTTTGAAATTTAGTTAAAGGTGGTTTCTGAAGCTGCTTCTTATAGCGACTCTTGACGTGGAAGCAGCGAAAACGTACAATTAGTTTAAAACACGAATAATCTCATAAGTGTACTTTGTTAATTAGAGAAGCCCACTTCAGGAGCATGGTTTGCCATTTCGAATGAGTCATATGGAAACTCGACTTTAAAGGAATAGCAAGAAAGGCGAGCTAAAGAGCAATGAGTTAATGGATGTGAAGCACAAAATAGAAGGTGGAGAAGCAGAGATCAGAAATGATTAACTAATCGGGCAGCAATTGGTTAAATGGGAGGAGGTAGGTGGACGTACGGAGGATTGACGTATGAATGGAGGCAAGGGTACATTAAAAATGAGTAATAACAGACCTGCAGTGAGAAGCAGATTGGCATTGCAACTATACATAGGCAGGAATAAACAAGAAAGATTTTATGAACGAAATGATGACTGTTACTGTTTCGGCTGGATGGACAAAAAGTCCCGCAAATAGCGAGTGAATAGGCGAACCACGCATGAATTTAAAGGTGGATCGGTATACATGTTGGTGGTTAGATTTGGCACCAAATCCTCAGTGAAGCGGATAATCGAGACAGAACCCAATTACCCAGAACTAAGCAATCACCCAAACCCGTTTGACGGCTCAGCCCCTTAATGTCACCAGCCATCAAAACATCATGAGGCGTGTTTGCTATCTGCAGCAATAAGATGCCTGCAAAACCTAGCCTGACCAGTACAAGCAAACTACCTGATACTACAGCTAGGAAATGGAAATAAGGTCTACGATCATGTTCGATATCCTGTTCGATCATATGCAATGTTTCAATGATCAGTGTAATTACCTCACACCGAAGACCTTGTTGTCACTCCACGCATTCACATCGAATTCAGCATCACGAACAAGAGTATAAACTTCTCCTCTCCGAGGGTCCATGAGTACATCATAGAATTGTGATGGAATCACCGCCAATTCCACCGCTCTTGTCAAACTCCTTCGAATTGCAGTTCGAATTAGTCGTATGATATGGGAATCATCGTACTCCAACACTGACTCACCAGCCACTTCGACAATCTGATAATCTGGCTCCAACCCGGAAATCTTTGCGGGTGAAGCTTTATCTATGTAAACAACCCGGCCGCGGTGTATCGCGAGGCCCAAATCTCGATTGCTTCTTGCATTCTCCAGAGTCCTCTTCTTTATATTAAACTCATTAATAATGGGGCAATCATAGACTCGCAGTTCTATCTTTCTCAGGAAGGGTGAGGGAATAATCATGGCTTGGAAACCGTCTGCGTTATCTGAGTGACTTCGTTGCTGAGATGCGTCCTTAATTTGTTCCTGCATCCAGATCGGCATTATCTCTACAACCTGGTCTCCAAAATGTAGATCAACAGGATTATTAAAGTCTTGGTATCGGATTCCACAGACGAAGTACTTATCTCCTGGGAAGGCTCTCAGCATGAGATGTTCAAGTGTGTTGGGCCGAAAGAAGAGAGTCACATGCTGCCATGTGGGTCGTTCAACATAGCCCTCGGGGAATGTGTGTCGCAATTCTGCAACAAACAGTCGGGCAGTTTCGTCCACTAATCCAAGATCGCGGCAATACTTGTAGGCCTGGGAACGGACCCCTTCTAAAAAGGTGGGCTTTGCCGGTCCTGCTTCCCCCACTCTGCGTGATCGAAATGAGAAAGTTGCTGTAAAAACAGGGCTCCTAGGACGAGAAGCCATAGAATTAACCTGAAGTGCCCCAACACGTTTTTCAAATGGGTCTGTAGCAGATCCAGGGTTACCCAAAGATGATCTTGAATGGGCAAAATCACAATCATGAATGTATTTCAGATAGTCTTCAACACTGTCTGTAGCTTTAGGGAGCCCATTTTCGATAGCGTATAAATTATGCGGCGATTTAGAATGACAGTGCAAAAGGCATTTCTCCATGCAGGAGGCTTCTTCCTCGACGCAAGGTTTGGAAAGGCATCCATGGACAGGACAGAGTCGTGGAAACTCGTTATAATTATTTCGATCGGGAAAAGTCAAGTGACAGCATTGTTGGATCTCGATGAATTTGAAAGCTAAATCACAAGACGCGCTCGTCTGGTCTTGACTGGGGGTGAGGAAGTTGTGATCAGCGTTGTTGAGGTCCAGTGGACCCAAGCGACATTCGCACATTACTTTGTGCTCTTCCAATGGGTGGTTTGAACCGCGGGAAAAACTAATCGATGTCGCCTTCGAATGACCTTGAAGTTTTGCGGACTGTGGCACTACGTTTGCACCAACCTAAATTAAATTTATTCGGGCAAGCATCTATCATTTTATCATAATCGGCTTCATAACTGTGGATTACTAGCCCATTATCTTAAGGGAACAACTATCAGGGTGCATGGGTTGGGAATGAAAGAATTTATTACCATCCGTGCCAGAATCGCACAATGAGCCTTAAATATATGCATTCTATTTAAAATAGGTAAGTACGCAGATTATTTAGCTTAATGTGTGTCCGTCTAAATTGTATTTTAAAGTGTAAATCAAGTTGTAAAAAATGACTGAGGATTTCAAGGAAAGGTGGTAGAGATTTTACTCCAAAGCCATGCAAGGCTCATTACAATCAGAGGCTTAATTAGTTTTATGACTATAAACCCTGTGAAATTTTGGAGACGTCT